TTTTTCACTTCTGCTGAAGTCTTCAGTCAGCTTTCTGACAGACATGGGCACACTGCTGGCCTGGGGAAGATATTTGCACACCTAACTCAGAGGCATGAACAGTACCAGTATTCTACTCCTCTGCTTTCAAGAATGGTTGAAAAAAAAATAGCAGGAGAATTCTACAGTTTCTGGACATGTACATAATGTAGAAGTGATTTAGTACTCCATGAAGTGCAGTCAAATATGTCTGAAAAATGGAGACTGAACATCCATGAGCAGCTTTGTTAAACAGTGCCTTGAAAGATGCATCAGCTACAATGTTGCAAAAGCTTAAAAAATATTTGAGCCAACATCAAAAATTACATTGAATCTGTATATATCTATGGTACAGGCATTTCTGGGCATAGAGGTTTTTACAAAATAGGATTGGTATTTTGAAATCAAGAATTGAAGTGTTGGAGCCAGGGTCATGACAGCATCCCACGTTCAGTGTGCTGGTTCAAGTCCCTGCTGCTCTGCTTCAATTCGATTTCCTGCAAATGCACTTCTGAAGACAGCAGATAATGGCCTAGATTCTTGGGCCCCTGTTGCCCATGTGGGAGACCAGTATGTGGTTCCTGGCTCTTGGCTTTGGGCTGTCCCAGACCCAGATGTTGTAGCCATTTGGGAAATGAACTGGATAATTAAAGATATCTCTCTCTTTCTTTCTCTCCCTTCTCCCCCTTTCAATCTTTCTCCCCACCCCTATCTGCCTTTCAAGTAAATACATCTTATAAAAATTTGATATGCTAATGCAACAGGCATTTTCCCTTATGGTCTAAGAAGCTGCTTAGCATACCCTCATCACATATCAGAATCCCTGGATTTCACTAATGGCACCTCTCCCAACTCCAGCTTCCTGGTAACTTGAACTCGGAGAGGCATCAGGTGGTGGACAAGAAGTTAGGATCTGCCATCCATGTAGAAGACTCAGAAGGGTGTTCCAAGCTCCTGGCTTTTACCTGGCCCAGGCCTATTTCAGGCGTTTGGCAAGTGAGCCAGAGGATGGGAGATTTCACCCTGTCCTTCTATCTGTCTGTATCTCTGTGTCTCTCAGATAAATAAAATACATTTTTCAAAGAATTGATATGCTCAGAGTAGTGGCTACTGCAGAGAACAGGAAATAACAGGAGAGAAGAAGGTGAAAAAATTTAAAGTAATAGTGATATCCTATCAAGATATTTTAATATTTTAAAAATCAATCTACAAATGCTTAAATCTATAATTTTCCCATAGCCTTAAATATAATAAGGTAGCACGTTTTCCTTTGAAATTTTTTTCTTGGGTATTATCATATATGTTAAGAAGTATGTTGAATTAGAGTTTAGCAAGAGATCATATTCCAAATATGTTTACATTTACCTTATTGCTGGAGATTCAAGTTACATACACAATTATAAGCTGGAAATAGCATCCTTCTTTTTCCCTAAAATAAGGCAATCCTTTCAATTTTAAATCCCATTATCATTAACTCTCACAAGTACAAAAGCAGGAAGGTAAATATATAATATATTAATATATTAACTTCTTTCTTTCCTCTTTTCTAAATATTAGCAGGATTTCTAAAAATTGATTTTTTTATTACAAGAGGGAAAATATTACTTTTAAATAAACCAAATACCCAAGTTGTCTAAAGGTTAACTGTATGTTGACATACATGCAAATATAAATAAATAAATAACAGTTTAATGATATTTAGCTGAATTGATTCTGTGTTCAACTCATTTTCAGTGTCAAGGTTAGAAATATTGCTTGTAACACATTGCTGATAATTTATACTAACTTTATGAGCCTACTAAGTATAAGGTATTTAATATGAATCTAATTTTTCATCTTATACATCAGTTTTGGAAAATTATTATCTAGTTCCATTAAAAAGAAGTCTTCTCATTAAGAATAACACACTTTGAATCACAATCAGTGGGATCCCTTCCTCTAAAAGGCTAGGACAGTCACCATGGTCTGCGTCCCTCTGGGTTGAAATACTATTAGATTTGGTGAGGTGAACTGTATATCACAAGACTCCCCGTGCTGGACAAGGAAATATGTCACTGCATAGGAGGGGTGGACTTAGAATTACTCTGTGCCCTCTGATGCTGTATTTTATCTTAGGAAACATCATTGACATACTCTCTTGATTTCATCAAATTCCTCCAGCTTGCTTTCTTTGTCTCTCTCTCTCTCTCTCTTTTAAAAGAACACACACACACACACACACACACACAATCACACACCATTGATAGCAATCACAAAATTATTTTTCTATTTTGTTCATTACTAATAAACCCTTCTTTTTTCATGTAAACATAAATCTAAATTTAATGATATATGATTTGAATTAGACATCAGCACATTAATTTTTGTATCAAAAGCACTAACAGATAATGCCCATGCTGTTTAGACAGGCCAGGCTTGGTGAATTATTAATAAAATATTTTACAAGAAAAGGTATGTCATCAGTTCATCCTTTGACATGGCACTGTTGAGACTTAGAGTATGGAAGGGCACTCATCAATTCAGATCACTTCAAATTAACTTTATTTTGACTTAGGCTTAGGGTCTTAAAGTAATTACCCACTGTCTCTGGCCATATAAAAAGTTCCAAACCCACTTTAAAAAATAAGTATTTAAGGATCCACATATTCATTTATAGAATAGTGTTACATTTTTTCCTAAAATGTTCACATAGAATTTTCCCTATTTAACCACTGATTAAAAACCATCAGACATAAAATATAATTTCATTATATAAAGACACATTAATATTTCCACAACGTTTCTATTTTCAGTTTTGGTTTTGCTATACATAAAAACTATCTCATAAAAATATTATAAAGTTGCATTACTTAAGACTTAAAGATGACTATTTGGGAAGGTTTTAAGGAAATTTGTACTTTCTCAGTTTAAAAATTACATATGTAACTTCCCAAATGACTAATTTTCCTAAAATAACTGCAAGCGGTTCTTATTCAATAAACCAATCAATATATATGTATTGACCTGCTCTATTTACCAAGATATTATTATGTGCTGACTATTCTAAGTTACTTGACCTTCAATTATTGTTTTATTCAGTCAACAGATACATAGAAATAATGGCAGCCCATCTTGTTTCATTTTTATTTACTTATCTTTTAGTTTTACTATGTGGTCAGTGTTATTTTTGATATAATTTGAAGTTTGCTCTCTAGTCCAGCTTCCTGCTAATATGTATCCTTGGAGGCAGCAGTGATGGCTCAAGTACTTGGGTCTTGGCACCCACATGGGAAGATAGGGATTAAGTTCCTGGCTCCTGGCTCCATCCTGCCCCAGCCCCAGCTGCTGCAAGCAATTGGGAAGTGAACCCACGAATGGAGTATCTCTGCTCAGTATTTCAAGTAAATAAAATAAAATTTGAAATAGTTTTCAAGACTATTTTTAAAATATTTTTTTAAAGATTTATTTTACAGATAGACTTACAGAAAGAGAAAAAGGGACATACAGAGAGAAAGAGAGATCTTCAGTCCTCTGATTCACTCCCTAAATGGCCACAATGGCTAGGGCTGGGCCAGACAGAAGCCAGGAGTCAGGAGCTTCATCCAGGTCTCCCAAATGGCTGGCAGGAGCCCAGGTACTTGAGTCGTTTCCTGCTGCTTTCCAAGGCGCATTAGTAGAGAGCAGGATCTGAAGTGGTACCCATATGGGATGCTGGCATCACAGGTGGCAGCTTAAACTGCTGAGTCACAATACCAGCCCTAAAAAAAAGAACTTAAAAATTTTTAAGTCTCATGGTTCTTCTTGATTTATAAGTAAGCTAATGTTATTTCTCTAAGGTGTTTGCCCCTTCCAAATCCCCTTTTTCCATACTCTGAATACTTAATTTGTGCTTTAGTTATATATATCTGGTCCTTAATTTTTTCTTAATTTTCAAGAGAAGAACATGCTATTTAAAAAAGAGTTAAGTTTAGAGACAATTTCTCCTTTATGTCTCCATCAGACAATAATTTTGATGGCCCCCAAATTATAAAGATCCCTATGGCATGCTTGATGGGCAAGAGGTGAATCCTAACGTGCCCACATTCTTCCTTGACTGGAAAGATTGAATGCTTTGATCTTTGCTGTATTTGTTTCTCTCTCTCTCTCTCTTTTTTTTTTTTTTTTTTTTGACAGGCAGAGTGGACAGTGAGAGAGAGAGAGACAGAGAGAAAGGTTTTCCTTTGCCGTTGGTTCACCCCCCAATGGCCGCCACGGCCAGCGCGCTGTGGCCGGCACACCACGCTGATCCGATGGCAGGAGCCAGGTACTTACCCTGGTCTCCCATGAGGTGCAGGGCCCAAGGACTTGGGCCATCCTCCACTGCACTCCCTGGCCACAGCAGAGAGCTGGCCTGGAAGAGGGGCAGCCGGGACAGAATCCGGCGCCCCAACCGGGACTAGAACCTGGTGTGCCGGTGCTGCAAGGCGGAGGATTAGCCTAGTGAGCCGCGGCGCCGGCCTCTGTATTTGTTTCTCATGCTAACGTATTAAAAGGTTTTCTTACTTAATTTCAGAAAAGTTCCTCTTCATACAATACCATCTTCCACATTCTGTGGATTGACTTCTGATCATCAGTCCTATATGCTTCTGTGCTCACAATTTTTTGTACTTTGAACTTCTTCTACTGAAGAAAACTCTACACTAAACTTCAAATTCCTGATTAGCATTCACTTTGGATGTCAGTGTGCAGATAAGTCAATATGTAAATGTGAAAATAACTGGAAGAACTGCATCATGGGAATTTTGAAGTTGCAAATATCCATAGAGCCCACCAGTTCAAGGACTTCCTGGCTGCTGTAGATGACGAGCTGAGCCTAAGGAGAGAAGACTTCCCCAACTTCATGTGGCCAAATTCAACTCTTCAAGCCTCTCTCCATCTTTTATAACTGCTGGAATCTTGCTAAACAACATTCAAATCTGCCTTTCTGTAAGTGTTATTTATGTTTATTTTCTCCCCAGAAATACCTGGATATGGTGGCTTCCAGCTTCTATTTCAATGTTGTGCCATTCCTTCCTTCTAGTTTGGTGGCACAACCATGTTTTCTTGATGGTAAATCAGCATAGATCACAATCAATCATATTTTTCTAGTTTTACTCTTGCACTGCAAAATAAAAGCAAGATAAGATAAAGCTACTGTAGCTACTAAGCTATTCTCTATTGACTTTTATAAAAATATCTCTTTCCAGGTAAATATATCTCTGCTTTTCCTCAGCAAAACAGTTGGAGTCATAAATAAGATGGTTTAGAAGTATTTGCAACACCCACATGACCTGACATATTGTGCTAAATGAATTTCTGCTGAATTTTTATTTTGGCCATTCATTAAGCCAAGTCATCGTTAACATCTGCATGATTAAAGCAAAGCACAAACTCAAAAATAGCAAGAACTATCCCATACCAGTACTGTATCCATATCTTAAATTGGCTTTTGTTTTACATAAGGATGCCAAGAAAATATGTTTCCCTACTCCTTCATTTTCTCTTCTCCTATCCCCCTTACATCTTTCACCTCTGGGAGCAACTCCCTGGGCTCATTCTCACACTATTAGTTATATTTTTATAAGTTTGACTGTATTTCTTTTCTTTTTTTATTTTTTGACAGGCAGAGTTAGAGAGAGAGACAGACAAAAAGGTCTTCCTTCCATTGGTTCACCCCCAAATGGCTGCTACGGCCGGCACTGCGCCGGCCCGAAGCCAGGAGCCAGATGCTTCTTCTTGGTCTCCCATGCGGTGCAGGCACCCAAGCACTTGGGCCATCCTCCACTGCCTTCCCGGGACACAGCAGAGAGCTGGACTGGAAGAGGAGCAACCGGCACTAGAACCCTGCGCCCACATGGGATGCCGGCACCACAGGTGCAGGATTCACAAAGTGAGCCACGGCGCTGGCCCCCGACTGCACTTCTTACGCTTATCCCAATGATATCTTCATTATTCTCAGATTTATTTGGGAAAAATACAATGAAGTCCTCTTTCCACGAAGGCACTCTGGCCATCAAATGTATCTTAAGATTTTGAGATTTCCTGCAGAACCCTCCTTTTTTGATCGCAGTTGTTACCAATCTACCCATGAGAGGATCAGGGATCCACAAGCTTCCTACTTTCCCAGAAACTGTCAATAGTTAAACATTTTAAGAAATTCAAATAAACAAATAAAATTAATAGACTGGAGACTTCGGAAACATGCTGTGAACCAATGTTTTAGAAATAATCCATTATGCAAAAATCAAGTTGGTTTACAAAATCACAAGGTGGTATTTTTCACTTAATATAACCCAAATCAAATGTCATGAGAAGACACATGGGAGAGCAATGCTTGGTGTCCATTGTAGGTAATTCTTTGATCCTTTAGTTATCAACCTTTGATATTAATAAAATTCAATTTCCTTAACTTTAAAAATACATTTAATGACTTTGGACAGAGGTCGAGGAATGGTAGACTGTATAATTCTGAGTACTTAATTTATGCTGGTAGATAAATGAATGAAATACATTGTAAAGACTGAAAACATCCTATAATGAGCTAACAATGCCTAGCAGTCTATCAATCAGGCAAATTCAATCAGAAGTTCCTTACGTTGGCTACGAAAATGTTTTAAGCTTAGAAATATTGAAATGATATTCTTGCTCAACTCTCTTATTTCACAAATAAGACAACACAAGCCACAAAAGTTGAATGGCTTGCAACAACCAAGAAACTGAGTCTAGGCCTTATTGGCCCAAATATCCTCACTGCTCTGGACTGATTGATAGTTACAACTCCAAGGATTCATAGTACACAGAGTGACACATAGGAGACCAAATCAAGATGAAGTAAGTTAAACTGTTTAATCCATTCGAGGAGTACTCATCAATCGCCAGGTAAGTGCAGCTGAGGGAGCACTAGCTCGTATCTTTACAAATGCAACTCAGGAAAAGTTCATTCTGGTGGTAAATGAGGCCCTTCCCTTTATGAAAGACAGACAGAGCCTGAGTGTTAATAATAAACCAGCAGGCATAGAAATCCAAAATTAAACCTTTATGTCTATTCAAGCACTTGTCTCATTTTATACTCAAGTTATTTTACTTTTACTGTTGTTGAGTTGTAGGAGCTCTTTGTATATTTGGGATATTAATCCTCTCAGAGGTCTAAAATAGTCAAATTCATAGAAGCAGAAAGTACAGTGGTAGTTACTAGGTGTTGGAGAACAGGGGAAGAGGAGTGGTTTGAGGGACAGATTTTCAGTTTTGTTAAGATGAACAAGTTCTGGGATTTGTTTTATAACAATGTGAATGTATGTAACTGTATTGAATTTTTCCCTTAGAGATGGTTAAGATGCTAAATTTCATGCTACATGTTTTTTACATTTGTAAAATGCATTTTAAAAGTCCTGTCACTAAAGAAAAAAAATCACTCTTTTTAAAAGAAATCAGAATCATTCAGCAAGTCCTATAATTGCGTTTTTTAATGAAGCAAAGTTTCCCAATGCCAGATGTGTCATTCCTAAAACATTAGTAAGAATAAGACCTACTGAAAATGCAAAAGGCTAATGGTTTAGCTTGAACAATAACCAAGTTCTAATGCAGTAATAAAGTCAGTTTATCTACTTTATGCTTTTGAAAAGTTTAGTTTTTCTTTGCTAATTTATAGAAATGACCTGAATAGAAAATCAGCGATCAAGGGTTCACTTAATTTTATTTGGCCTAGTTTGATCCAATTCTTGTTAGCATACTGTTCCAGAACTAATTTTTAAATCTCAATTAACTGCTTTCTCTAATGATTACAAGAATGTATCCTAGTCTTGGTCTTTGCAAGGCTCTTTACAAACTGCCAACTTCACTTTGTCCGGTTTTGAATTGCATGGCCTGAGAGACTCAGCAGGCCTGGAATATTCTATGTGACCACTTGGCTCATTATTATGAATTCCGGGCCTTACACAAACCTGCTCCTGAGCGCACCCGCACCCGCACACGCACACTGGCCTTACTTCCGGCAAGCACTTTACTGAACTATCATAATCAATGTGTTCACACAAATGAACAAACAAATCAACAAAAACACCTCTGGTAGGCGAAGCCCTAGAAACGGTAGGACTTTGGAGGCAGTGTTTCCTGGTAGCCTGTGAACCTATTGATTAGTCCTTCAGGACTCTCCGTGGGAAACACCGGGAAGAAATGTGAGGGGCAGGCTGGGGAGAAGGGAGAAGGGGTCGGGTGGGACTTCATTCCCAGGACAGTGCCAGGGCCCAGAGGGAGCGCGCGTCGCCGGCGCGGAGACTCAGAGGCCAGAGGGGACCACAGAACTACAGACAGTGAAGGAAGGCAGGGAGGGCAGCGGGCAGCAGGGAGATAAAAAGAGGGAGGCGGAGCCGCCCAGGCGGGCGGGCGGGAGCGGAGGCGGCGCCGCAGCCCCAGCCGGCCGGCCGGGCGAGGGCGAGCGCCCGGCTCCGCGCTGCCCCTGCTCTCCGCACTCGCTCTGCTCGCAGCCACCTAACGGCCCGCGGCGGGGACAGGTCCTGGAGAGTTTGCCCCTCCCCGCAAGTTTCCTCCCGGAGTCCGGCTCCTGCAAAAGCGCTACCTGCAGGCGTCCAGCGGCGGCCGCTTCTGAGGTAACAGCGCGGGGATTTGGCGGCTGAGGGTCCGGGCACTGCAGGGACCGCGGTTGCGGGGTGCGGCTGGGCACCCCCCGTGGGGCGGGCCCCGGGTGGGCGGGGAAGTGCAGCCTCACCTTTCCTGGTGGGATGCGGGAAGCATTTTTCTTTTTCCTTTCTACCCCCTACTTCCACTTACTTTGGGGACGTGCTGGGGTGGGAAAAGGCCAAGGGGGTAGAAGATAAGGAGGACCCCAAAACTTTGAGAGGGGCGGCGTAGTAGGACTGTGGCCCAACTTGAAAGCTACCTGTGCGGGACTCCTGGGCCCAGGCGCGGCCCCCTGGACTTCGCAGCGCGGTGCCAGCCCCGGCTGGGGGCGTGTGGAGGTTGGGAAGGGGCCACTAGAAAGCACCGGCCTGAGTTTCAGACGCCGCTTTATCCGGTCTCCGGCATGTTTGGCAGAAAGAGGTGCATCTCTGCCTCCTGTCTGCTTTACGTCCATACCAAACTCCCCGACCTCCGGAAGGCTGCGGGCAGGTGGGCGGGGAGTAAGGACGTCCGGGAGCCCAGGTGCCCAGATGGCCCAGGTGCCAGGGCTCGGGGAAGCTGATAGGAGGACAGGGTTTGAGGCGGGCTGAGGAGGGAAGGAATTGCGCGGTGGTCTGGATTCTGCTGCTGCTGTTACTTTTCGCACGGTGAGCCGCTCGCTCCTCTGAACATCCTGCCTATAAGCGTGTTTCTGCGAGAGGCTGCAAGGTGCGATGTTTGATGCCTTTCGGGAGTTGTTTCCAACTAGGTGCGCAGGTGCCAAGGCTAGAGTTGCTGCTTCTCCTGTCTTCCTTCCCTGCAGGTCCACCCTCAACTCCTTCCTACCAGCAAGCTGTGCCCTGGCCATTCCCAGGGATTTGAAAGACATGACATGTAAATAATATAGAATGTGTGTTTATGTAAGTCCCCCCCCCCCATTTTGCAGTTAGATCCAAATCATAACACTATGGATGTTATTAAACATTTATTAAGGACTCCCTTTTAGCAATTTTTTCAGATAATTAAGAGTATAATTTATCAATGTTTATTTTCCTCTCTTTAACCTCAAGCATTACTTTCATCCATCTCTGCACAGTTTAGTTACTATACGGCTTGAATTTAAAGGACATGACATTCTTTTATATACACACCAAAACACAGCGTGACCATATTTAATATTTCTCTCTTCCTGATTCAGTGGCCTGACACCTGCCATTTCCAGTACATGATCATAACACCATATGCCTGTCTACCAAATTGAGGAGAAGGGAAATGTTATTGTTTTTCGTGGGCAGAAGTACATTGACTACCAGATTTTATTATTGCTCAAAGGGCTTTGAAGAGCTTCAGTCAGGCTGAATTAAATATGATACAGGACAAAAATCACAATTCCTCCTGATGTGTTCAGACAACATACAACACCTGGGTGCTTAGAGTAGACTACTAATTGAGGAAAAATGAACATCTTCCCATCACATTGAAAGCATTTTAATTGAATATAGTCAATAAGAAAAAGTATTGAAAACCTTGGGAAAAAACAAGAATTTTCCTTATTTCATTTAGTGTTTTTTCTCCTTTATTATAATGGCATCCTCCAGAAAATGAGCACCTCTCGCATCTAGATGTTGGTATGTGCTAACTAAACACCATATTTTGTAATACAGAAGTTGGTGGCAGTCCAAAACATAAATGTTTTAAATCATTACCAACCATCTGTTCTTTCCCACTCACTTAAAGCAGTGTTTTATTTTCACAGGTATCAAAATGTACTTACTCATTTCATACATTCCCTGAAAGCTGTAATAGCATCTAATGTTGACCCAAGTTTGGCAACTGTTGTTTTGCTTTCATTTCACAATAAGCAACTTTCATTTCATTTTCTATGAAAGGAGAAATCAAAAAGTTTTAAAGTATTTAGCTAAAGCTTGCGTGTATTCTAGTGAAATCTGAGTGCATCCTCACCTGCCTACCTTTTTGTTACCAGAGAGAAGCTGAAACTTAGTGCAGCTGGAGAACTCTCCTGGTAACAGTCTCTCCCTTTCTTCATGCTCACAAGGGTAGCAACTGATGTTCTCAAGCAGAGTATTTTTTTTTTTTTTTTTTGACAGGCAGAGTGGACAGTGAGAGAGAGACAGAGAGAAAGGTCTTCTTTTGCCGTTGGTTCACCCTCCAATGGCGCCCCGAGCCGATCCGAAGGCAGGAGCCAGGTGCTTCTCCTGGTCTCCCATGGGGTGCAGGGCCCAAGCACTTGGGCCATCCTCCACTGTACTCCCTGGCCACAGCAGAGAGCTGGCCTGGAAGAGGGGCAGCTGGGACAGAATCCGGCGCCCCAACTGGGACTAGAACCTGTTGTGCGCATCGCAAGGCGGAGGATTAGACTAGTGAGCCGCGACGCCGGTTAATGAAGCAAAGTATTAAACACCCCCTGACTTAAGAAAGCTGGGTGGCTTCCATGGGCATATGACATCTTCCCAGGAAGAATTGACAAAATGGGAAACCAACTTAATATCCAAACTCCAAATTAAATACATCTAAGAAACACACATTGTTTCCCACGAAAATGTTGAATATGAATAATATAGAACATTATGTAGAATGTGAATAAAAAAACTATCCATACAGTATTGTTTGTGCGACAGCACTTCAAAAACTTCCTGGAAAAACAGAATTAAAAGGAAATAAAATAATATTTAAAATAATTTTAAAAATAATTAAAAATAGAATTGAAGTTGAAATGCTCATGTCCCGTAATCCCCATTTCTGAGTGCCCAAGTTTGAATCCCAGCTCCAGCTCCTGATTCTAGCTTCCTGCTAATGTAGACCCTGGGAAGTAGTGGTGATGGCTTCAGTGAAGGAATTCCCATCATCCATGTGAAAGATCTGGATTAAGTTTTCAGCTCATGGCTTTGGCCCCACCCAGCCTCAGATGCTGTAGGCATCTGGGGAGTGATCCAGCAGATGTGAGCTCATGATGTCTCAGCCCCCCTCGGCCATCAGGTAAATCAAGTATTTATTTTTTTAAAAAATACATTTATCTTAGTGCAAAAACAATTGAAATCATGCATAATTTTTTTCATAATATACATTTTCCATGAACTTTTCAAAGACTCCATGTACGCATGGTTTTCAATTATTTTGCATTGAAATAACATCTTTTAATTCCATTTTCCATGAATTTTTTGAAGTACCCTTATACTTTTGTTTAGGAACATGGATGAATTTGTACGTTAATCAGCAAGAAAACTCACAGCCTTTGTTTGGCTCAGGTCAGTAAAGTGAAATTTTAGGGCTTTTGTTTGTTTGCTTGTTTTATTATTTATTTTGTTTTTTGTTTTTGAGATCTAAGGTTTTGTGGCCCTCACTCAAGAATGATTTCTTTTTTAGGGATGTTTGCTCTAACTATATATAATATTTTAATGTGAAGATACTTTCACTTGTCAAAATCAAGCTGCATAATAAATATGTTGTTCCTCAGTGTGTCTAGAATATTAGTAATGTTAATTTTACTGTAATCTGGGTACAAAGTTCCAAAGTACTTTCATATTTTTGAGAACATAATGATGATCTTGTTGACCTCTTGCAAATAATTGATATGTACTTGAAGAAGGTCAAGAAGCCAAGACAGAAGTTACCTTATTACTTGCTGTACTGCTCTGTATTACTCTACCCTTGATAGTATTAAAATTCTCCTAACTCATAGTGCATGTTTGAAGAGAATGAACCCAAACAATAGATAATTTTGAAAGAAAAGTTGCCTTTAAAAATATGGTCTCATTTAAATGCTTGGATATGACATAAGAATGTGTTACATTTGATTTTCTGTATACTAAAAATGAATTATTGAGGGGAAACAGTTTCACCATCTATAGTAAGCACTGAATTATTCATGCTAATGAGAGGAATAGAGGCAAAGATAATCTAAAATCATGGTTATTTAAAAAGTCATTTGTGTTTGTCTTTGGAATATATTACATGTTGGGTTTGAAAACGATTTTCATTGTTATTGTGGGCAACTTGCCTCTCTAATTATTTTGTTTTATTTAGGTTAATTTTTAAATAAGCTCATATACTTCAAACACCAAAACCAATTTATGGGGAGGTGGGACAGATGGGCAGCCTGCCCAGAAATGAGTTGGGTGACAGAATTAAGCAAACCTTATATGAAAGCTTTGCAATAGATTATATGCACTTCACAGAAAGATAATCAAGACTTGATTGTGTATCTGCTGAATGAAAATGTGCTAAGAGGTATATACATTTCTAGAAGAAAATAAAAGCCCTTTGGTCAAGATTTGAGAACTTTAATCCCACTTTACCTGTAAGAGACACAATATGTTTTTAAAAATGCTAGTTAGGTACTCCTGAAAACAAAATAGAAATGTTAATTTATAAATCTTAGTAAATTGAATTGTTGAGTGTTTTCCCGAAACACACACATGTGTATGATGTTGAATGATTTCTGAAGCCTTGCATGTGTGTTTCCTAAAAGGAGCAAGAGCAAGAAACCATCTGAATAAGGGGGTTAGTCCATTTGATCTCTGTACCCGCGTCCGAATCAAAAACACATTTCATCACAGAGAAGCTCTCAAGTATCTATCGTGACTGCAGACCTGCTAAGATAAAATAGTTGACATTCAGCAAGGCTGCCAATTTAACAGATTTCTATTGTGTTTTTCAAAAGCTTTAGGGCAAAATTGGTTGTGGATGAAATAGTTACTTGAACAAGAAGCTGATTCACACCATAGCAGTTGCTGTTAAACAACTTGTTTATAGTCAGTGTTTAGCTGTAGATAGATTTTGTTGAATTATTAGTTCTGTGGACTCTTGGAATTTAGAAAACTTCTGTGTAGGAGGTTAGAACTGCCAAAATATATGATTGGAAAGCAGATAACATCATTTTTATTTCAAGAATTCACAGGAAAACTGTAACTCTTATAGAAGTGAAGAGAATGGTAGCAGAAAAGTAGATGTGCTGTCCAGAATGGAGATC